GAAACCAACTAACCAGAGAAATTGTCGAAGCCTTCCACATTAAAAAAAGAAAAGAAGGATGCATTAGTCAGTCATCGGTTTCGTTAAGTGACCGAGAAGCCAGCTACCTCGAAGGACTTAATTGAGATCAGTGTTTGCATGTGTCATACTCTCCTTTTTGTCGTTTCAAAATGTTGTTTCAAACACGTGTGAATTCCCGCAAATTTTTTTTTGTTTTTTTTATTTGATGTTACCCAGGGCTGTTTTTAGTTATGTCATCTTAAAGTGTAAGCGTAATTGCCGTGTACTATCGCTTGAGTCTGCGCAAAAGCTTCTGTTGGCAATGATTCAATGTTTGTAGTTCTTTTCTGTGTCGCTAGGGTTATGGGTTATATAGGATGTGCTGCTTCTGAAATAAAATTAGTTGCGAGTGTAGCGAGTGTCGTGTGTTCTTGTTCTCTTTGTCCCCGTGAAAATTGCGCTACTACACCATATGGTTAAATAATAGCGTGCGTATGGTGAGCGGTACGGCTCACGTACGTTACCGAGCATGCGCACTTCAGTCCCGCTGTTTCGGTTAGCCCGCTAAGTGTGTGGTTTAACTGGGACCTGCATTTAATGAGAACAAACACAGAAACAACAGAGTGCATTACCTACCTGAAATCTAGAAACGGCCTAGAAGGAATGTAACAACAGCGTGTATCACCTAGCGAAGGCCCCAAAAGAACCTACAAGCAACCAGATATGTCTTCAGAATAGTCCAGTTTGGCTGGTTGAAGGCTTGCACCAATTTTGTTTGTTTCGTTTACGGTACAATAGTAACTAAGCCCCTTCGTTACAACTTCAAATGCGTGGACTGTGCCGATGGCATCGACAGCTCAATACGTGTCCAATTTGAGTACCTTGGTGCAGCGGCGTTCTTGTTGAGTTATTTCGCTGTAATATCTCGTTGCGGAAAGCACAATAGCGGGTTGATCGGCGTATCATAGAAGAGGTCTTTGCCCTGCAGCGGGCGTAGTCAGGCTGATGATGATGATGATGAATATTGCACCATGAATCATACTATGTACACCAGCGAGGCAACCCAAACAGATATCTTGCGACCAGTGAAAATAAATTTTGCTTGGGCTGCAAAAACCAAGCTCGACAAAAGTCTGAATCACGTAGCACACCCAGAAATGCCTGAGTGGAGCATATTTACTCTGGCTGTAAGAATCGTGACGTCATTAACGTTTTGTGATTCGAGTTATATGCCTGGCAGCATATCGATTCCGGTGCATCGGTGCCCTTCTGAAGGCTTCAGATTCGCAGAGCTTTAATTCAATGTATAGAAGTCATGGGCACATGAATGAATGCCAGAAGCACTTTTTAGGTTCTACATAAAAAAACAGCATTAATTTCTTAGCATTCTCTGGCAAACACAAGATTGGCGTTTGATCTGTGTTTGTAACGCCGAAAAGCGTGATACAGTGTTCAACACAGGTATGCAAAGAAAGTGCGGGGACAACATTATGTTCAAGATACTAGTTTATAGGGAGAGGTCATGTATTGTATTTTGTAAGGGTAAGAACGCAGCGAAAACGATGATTGCAAGGTAGGAAGCAGCGAAAATAGCCTTCCAGCTCCGAATTCCTTCCAGTTGCCTTCTTCAATTGCGCCTTGATACATTGCCGCCTCTTCTGTTGGCTGCTGGCATAACCTAATATAGGTGTTTGGGCCAACTTGAAAATCGGGTATGTTAGAGTGCACCGGAATTTGGGGACTGCCAAAATTAGAATGAATAAACGAGTGAACGTTACTAAAGTTCAAAATAATCTTTAGATGACTACTTGAAGCTTTATATTGACTCACCTCGCAAATTATGAGTTCATCCTACGGCAAATTTAGGGCTGAACCTACTTAGTTTGCACACATTCGGAATGTAAGCACAGCTTTTGTGACAGTGACGCCACACCACATGAGACATCACCCGAGGTAAGACAAAATGCACATGTGGCGTGTTGAGGTAAACGTATCAGCACACCGTCAATTTGCTTCCTTTGCAAGGAATTTAGTGTGCTGCAATGATAGCAAGAAAAATGAAGGCGTATACCTTATCTTTCATTGCGTGACGTGGTAGGCGATAGAAATTTGCTGCACATGCGTTTTAACAACCAAAGCACGCTACGGTGGACGATATTAGGCGACTGCAATGTGCCACTGCACTCATTTCTGTGAAATCTATAAGCCGTGGTCCGCACGATCAGTTGGTTTTGGAGACGACAGAAATGCTACATCAAATAACAGAGAAAGGACATCATGGTATATTTCCGTGGTTGCCAAATCACTGTGCAATCATCGGTAAAGAAGGAGCTGATTAAACTGCCCGTTCAGCTCATGCATACAGAAGATCACGACCAGTCAATACCACTCTGTAGGATGGACGCTGCTAGAAAGCTCTGCATGCTTGCTCGTCAATGCTCCATGTCACTTTGGAATGAACCTCTTTTTTACGCATGCAAGATTGCGATTCCTTGACCCTACGTTAAGCTTACGACTTTCACCAAAACTTCGACGAGGTGACGCTACTGTTCTGTGCAAACTACGATGGTTGGGCGTTGTGTTTACCCGTGCTTACGCATTCCGCATAGGAATGATCAACACCGCTGCCAGAGCACACTGCAGAGATGAATAGATAATTAGACACCTCCTATGTGACAGCCCGAAATATAACCTACAAAAACAATACCTTTCTAATACACTCAACAAGCTAGATGACCAGCCGCTGTCATAATAAAGTATACTGAGCCATCTTCATCACTCATCATCACGAAAGAAGACCATGCAAGCTCTACTGAGCTTTTTGTAAACTACTGGTCTGTCGTATTTAACCTCCCTCTCTCTCTTTCAACTCCCTGTTTTTAACCATAGTGTAGGGTAGCATACCGGGTACTAGCCTCTGGTTTCCCCCCTGCCTTCATTTTCTCTCTTTTCTGTCCCTCTGTTTCATCGAAGAGCAGGCCTATGGTTACGCATACTTGCGCCACTCATGTAGAATTTCTGCGTGATGTCTGAACAAATAATAACTTAACAGTCATTCACAGCAGGGTAAACGCTAAATGAGTGCACCAGTGAGTGAAAGGGAGTGCCATAAACTTCACGACGGTCTGAAATAAACTGCAAAAGACTGTTAGAAACCATATTTGTGGACAAGGCCATTAAACAACCCAGGCAAACACTCAAAGGCTCTGCAGGGAAGTGGTTCACGAAAAACAAATGCGCGAAAGATATGAAGGCAGCCTTAAATATATCATTGAATTGTGTGCGTGTCTGTGCTGAGCACTTAAAAACCTGAGTGTTTATACTTTACACCTAACCACTTGTTAGCACCATAGACGTGGCCAATTTCATTAGCTGACTGCGAAATCATTGATCAAATCAACATTATTTCATAGTAGATACAGTTTACACAATCCCCTTAACGAGCGCTCTTTAAGAGCTCGTCATCACGTCTCGCGCGTCCATTCACGTAATGAGTGCACTGTACGATCGTTGTTGATTTTGTAAAAACCAAAAAACGACCCTGGTATCGTGGTTTCTGAATAGATTATCAGCTATGAACAATCGGTTGAAAATATACAGTAGAGCTTACTCAGTGAACAGTGAAGCTTATATGAGGCACTGAAAAAAAAACACAGCATCTATTCCAACGGGTGACCATGGCCACGCCGTGGTGGTCTAGTGGCTAATGTACTTGGCTGCTGAACCGCAGTTCGCGGGATCAAATCCCGGCTGCAGCGTCTGCATTTTCGATGGAGGCGGAAATGTTGTAGGCCCGTGTGCTCAGATTTGGGTGCACATTGAAGAACCTTAGGTGGTCGAAATTTCCGGAGCCCTCCACTACGGCGTCTCTCATAATCATATGGTGGTTTTGGGACGTTAAACCCCACACATCAATAAATCAATACGGGTGACCATGGTTGGATGCGAGAGCATCGCCGTGGCTGCGCATAGAGTTCCCGCTTCTTTTATCCGACTTATGAAGCGGTGGTTGTCGATGCATTTGAATTACCGCTTGGCAACTCGGACGTTTAAGTCCGGCTTCCCGAACCATCTTCTGCTCTGCGGCGAAGGCGCTGCTGCTGCAACTAGCACTCAAGCTGACGTTGTTCATGCCGTTTCGCACCTCATTGCACAGAGAGAAAATGACGGAGGCACAGTGAACGCGCGCTTTTGCAGCTTCGGGATTCGCTTGCCGGCGTTGTCATTTACGTTCAGCTTCACGAGCGTACAGAGCACCGTTGCGAAGGAGAGTGCAACAGGACGTAGCGCGTGCCGTATTATATATGAGCACATTGCTGTGGTGGAGACTGTAGAAAGAGCAAAAGGAGAGCAGAAACAAAGGGGAGGCAGTGCTCGCGCCACCTTCTCCACCCCACTTCTTCCCACCTGCTCGCTCTCACGCAGAGGGAAGGGGAGGGTTCGCGCGTGCGTAGTATGGACGATTGATCGATTGGTACGTGGGGCTTAACTTCCCAAAACAACCATATCATACTGAGAGACGCCCTTGTGGAGGGCTCCGAAAATTTCGACCTCCTGGGGTTCTTTAACGTGCACCCAATTCCGAGAACACGGGCCTACACCGTTTCCGCCTCCATCGAAAATGCAGCCGCCGAAGCTGGAATTTGATCCCGCCACCTGCAGATCAGTAGCCAAGTACCTTAGCTACTAGACCACCACGGTGAGGTATGCGCAGTATGGTGGCGTGCACGCCACAGAACGGACACTAATCCGACCATAACATGGATCCACATATGAAAACTAATATAGAGCTCTAGAAAATGCGAATGAAACGACATCCGAATGCAAAGGCTGAATCTATCCAAAGTGACAAACGATAATGTCAGCATCATTTGATCGTAGTTTAGTTCTATTTTTATGACGTAGGATGAGCATTTTGTGCTGTATTTGTTGAGAGAGGTAACGCTGTCGTGGTCTTAAAAGATTTATAAAACAGTATTAGAGTGAAGGCACGGAAACAGTGATGTCGTTATTGTATTTATTTCGGTGCATCCTGTTTCAGGCATGGTGAGTAAAAAAAATGATGGACGATCAGTGAATCTCAGGTTGAATAGACAACCGTCTCTTCAAATACGCCGGAACAAACAGTACACCTTAAAAGCGTTTTCAATGAGCGTTTGTGAAAGAAAGGGTAAATTTAGGACATTTCTTTTGAAGAGATGCTGACTACCGGGCCTCGGCAAAGCCCACGCGGTCGTTGCCTCTGTCGAAGATGGTGTAGTAGCGGCCTATGAACATGTCGCCCAGAATCCATAGGGGACCTGTTTCCGGTGGAAAGTCCATGGGGGTGAAGCCGCTCATGCAGAAGGTTTTTCCTTGTTGTTTCACCTGCACCAGACGGAGAGATCGCCAAGATAGTTAAAGTGCGCCCGATCAACGGTAATCCGGCAGCAAAGGTTTTAGCAAATACCGGAAGTAAGCATAATGCGAATCGATGCCATAAGTTCGCGCTGTGTGAGTTTTCTTTTCGTCAAACAGCCACAGCCAGCCAAAAGCAAGAGAAAGAAAATTAGCATAGGTTAGCACTAGAGGTGGCAAGTCTACAGGAAGTGCAGAGCTGAAGGGGCTTTCTTGTTTCTCTTCGTTTTCCTCCTCCTTTCATCATCACTTTCTATCTTTTTGTATTTGATGGTTCCTGTGTCTTTTTTACTTCTGTTTATTTCTATTTTGCTTCATGCTTTTCTCTTTCTCCACATTTTTTGTTGTTTGCTCGCTTTCTTTTTTTTTAGATTCTTTATGCGTGGGTTCATTTAGTTCTCCATTCTTATTATCGTTGTCAAAGCGGCTGGAGATCAAGATATGAACGACTTGTCTTCGGCAGAAGCGCGCACTCGTAATGCTAAAGATGGCTCTCCTATATGTTGTTTCGCCTGCATGAAAGCAGTCCTAATGCTATCGGAGAACAAGAAGAAGAAGGCAGGAGTTCGCCGTAAAGGCGGGCTAAAGCCTGCGCAACGCAAATAGGTCTTTTCAAAATCTATCTATTCCTCAACATATTGATAGTATAAAAAATGTATTTACAAAACCAGGCACTGCCAGTTGTACAGCCGATCCTCCACGGTGCGTTGTGCTAGTTTCATAAGGGTCCGTCAATCAATCAATCAATCAATCAATCAATCAATCAATCAATCAATCAGATGGCTATGCTATATGTGATTTTGACTGCGTTACGTGAAGTGATGAGGACATGATATAACAGATTCTCCCCCCCCCCCCCTAAAATTCTTTGCACTTTAAAGATGGTGCAGCATGTGCAAGGGAACTCGGATCTTTCCGAAGGAAGCCCTGATGTGATGGGAAGCAGCAGCGTTGCCCACGGCGATTCGGCGGGTGATTCGGCAGAGGGTGCACTTTCGAGACGTTGCAGAGGACGACGACATCGAGGATTCCGGTGTTGGCCTGCCGGTGTAGGTGCTTCCATTCGGCTTCCTTGGCTGGCGTCTTGTCAGTAATGCCTACGGGCCGTTTTCATTCTCGAACGCGATCGGCGTGGTTGACTCGCACTTCGTCGCTATTGCAGGGGCGACCTCGCCATTCGCGAACGAGATCGGCTGTGCTACCCTCCGCAACGCCGGCGACGGCTGTGTTAGGTCAAACCGCTTCGGTGCATGTTTCGGCGGGCGAAGGAGCTTCGCTTCTCTAGGCGTCTTGTCCATGGCAGATAAGCGAGCCGAAAGATTGTTCACTAGATGAGCACTCGAACGTTGCGAGCAGTGAAGAGGCTGAAGTGAAAGAGAGGTGACACGTGGCGAGTGCGTCAAAGGCGAGGGAACGAGTGACGTCACCGCGCACTGTGAGAGAAGGCGTGCCCTACATGCCACCGCCACAACACCTGCGGCAAGGACAGCGCGGTGTGGTGCGTTGGCACGGAGACACAGACGAACAGCGTTACACAGGCTAGTCAAAGAGCTGCTTCACATTTAAGACATTTGTCATTGTAACAAGAAAGCTCATGGGGAACAAAAATTATTTCAAAGTTGTAGCATCTTCATTGCGCGGTGATTAATGCTTTTTCAGAATAGACCCTTTTTTTGTATCTAAAGGACATTTGCAGAACGATTATGAAGTTAATGCACAGTTGGACCTCCTTTTATTTCTGATGCGAAATGTGCTTGGACCAGTTTATTCTGCTGCAATCATCTCGGCAAATATTTACGCTATTTCGATTCTAAGGTGGCTACAAAAGCTTCAACATGTTAACACAGCGTGTCTAAAAATGTGGTTATGCTCATCTTTGAGCATTTACAACAAAGCCGGTTAGTTTTTTGCACATGTGACAAGTGCCTTCATATTTCAACATGGGGCGGTGAATGTTAAGGCTAATTAGGTAAACGGGCTAGCTCTGAGAGCAGATCAACATTAGCAAAAACATAGGCACTGTAAGAAAGAGTCGATGAAAGCGGGAAGAAAATGTGACCTTGGCGGCGAGAGTAAGAGACGTGGAGAAAAGTTAACAAGGTGTTTATGAGGCTGTGGCTAGAGGGAAGATGTGTGAAGTATATTGAAAATGTTGGCTTTTGCGAAACACTAATACTTAGTGTGGCTTGAAGTTGCGCAAAAGATCTCTGTTGCACTTAACAATGTTGTTTGTTTCTATCGTTTGGCGCATAATGGGCCAAAATACCAATTGAAGTCGCACATATCAAGGATTTGTTTTAAAAAGTTAAGAATTCATGATCTTCTAAATACGACTCATTTACACAACTTTGCCTCTTAGCAAAGTTAAAATCAACGTTACTAAATGCATTCGTAGTGCGACTTCTCTATTTCATTTTACTGATATGCCCTTCCCGAAGTCTTAACTTCGAATGACTCAATGTCGCAGGAAAAGGCACGCAGTGTACGCAGGGGTGCAACTGCTGCACCAATTGTGCCAATTGGATACAATATTCTGTTGTTTCTCTGAGCAGAGGCGAAACCATGAAATTTGTGTTAAGTGTGTCACGCTGCGCTGAAATTCCCGACCAGCCTCAAAGTTTTTTTCGGGTGCGCTAATTTCAATGAGAAATAGGGACTACGTTGGTCACCTGCAGTTTGCGTCATCAATCGATCCAAGCGCGCAGACCCTAATCCAAATCCGCGGTGTAAGGTGAGGTGAGGGCACATGCGAAAAGGCATTGTGACAGCGCCGCGCAAACATTGATCCCCTGACCACAGCGGACACCGAACGGCGGGACGACGGAGGAGGAGGAGGAGGAGGAAGAGAAGAAATTAAAGGCAGGGAGGTCAACCAGACGCACGTCTGGTTTGTTACCCTCCACTGGGGAAGGAATGAGGGAATTAAAGAAAAAGAAAGAGAGAGAAGTGAAGGGCAACGTGTGTGTAGATGTGACCTTGTCTATTGCACGCTTATAAGTGGTCGCGTAGTCCGGTCGTCTTTAGAAAACTTAGCAATGCCCGCGTCGCTTTGCTGGCCTGCGACGCGTAGAGCCATGAACCAAGGATCTTCTCTTCGGAAAATGGTCTTCTGTCTAGTGCCTCTAACGTTTCGCGCAGCAAGTTGCATTCGCTCGCAAAACGTTCACATGAACACAGTAGGTGTTTTATTGCCTTGTCAGTGTCGCACGATTCACATCGGGAGCTACCCGCCATTCCTATGCGAAAAGAGTACGCCTTCGTAAAAGCTACTCCTAACCACAGGTGGCACAGTAAAGTTGCATCCTGGCGGGAGAGGTCAGATAGAACTTGAAGCTTTCTCGATGGGTCCAATTTGTGTAGGCGGTATTTCCCTACACTTGGGTCACTCAGCTGTGTTCTGTGTTCTGCGACACCAAGGCATCCCTTCAGAGCTTGCAATCAGCTTTACGACAAAGGGTGCATCAACAACTAGTGAATGAAATAAGAGAAGTGCTTCACGAAGTTTTATCGAAAGGACATGACGTGGTGTTCCAGTGGTTATCGGGAGATTGTGGTATTATCGGTAACGACCTTGCTGATAATGCTGCCCGATCCGCCCACGCGGACGTCCAGACAACCCCGATTCCATTGTCGAGAACCGATGCTGCAAGAGGCCTTCACTCGTTCGCTAACACAATGTCGTGGGACGACTGAAATTAAAAACGAAAATGCATTGCCTTAGCCACCGACCCTTCGCGGGAGATATCAATTTCCTAATCAGAAAACAACGTAATTGTGGCATGTAGGGAACTGAAGCTTGAAGGTATGCCACGTTTCCTTCACGCAAAAAAGCTCGGTGTGCTGCAAACGCCGGCGTTGCCTGCCACCACGCTGGTTGCAATAGCAAAGGCACATAAAGCATTTTTCTGTATTGAAGTTTCGTCATCACTGCGATAGATATCCGGCGCCATCGCCGGGCCAATCGACGCGTGCAGTTGCTACATTATCTGGTAGAACGCCTTGTGCAAGCGAGCCTGGAAGTGGTGCCTTAAACCTAACCTTACTGTGAAAAAAACAAACAGGAAAAGTAGGGGCTCGAAAGGAGGGGAGTGTTGAGGTTCGAAAATATTCGGGCCTCGTTCTAACTCGCGCACAACGCTCCTTAGGCCACCTCCAACCCAGTACAGTATTGCTTCCCAGAAAAGCGCATTATGTTTTTGAAGTTCTGCCACTCGTGTTTCTGCATTGCGATGCTCTCGTTCTGGTGTGCGGTTTCAGCGTTAGAGTCCTCATGTCTATTATAACAGTGTGTTTGTTAGCTTATAAGTTCTAACGTTGTGTTTTTTTGCTTCCCACAACGCGCAGGTTCAATTTGGGAGGACCGAGGAGCCATTTCTGGACATTTTCCAAAAGACGAGTCCGTTTGACGCAAACATTTAATACCAATAGCTCCAGAGCTCCTAAACACAAGTCCTAAGCACTCAGTTTCTACACAAAGAGTGTCGCGGAATGTCGAAGGAGTGGCGTCTCACACACGTCGTTGTGTAGGAGCCTGGGTGCCAAGAACGGGGTTGATGCTCTTGTCGTCCTAGTTGCCATCGGTGTTGGGCAGCCACACGAGTCGTAGGAGAAGCAGCCTTCCTAGGCTGTCGGTGGACGCTGCACCAGCTGACGCTGCATTTTGCGCACTGGCCTCGAGATAGAGTCGCGGCCGGACAGACTTGCCTGAGCTCCAGCCCGAAGATCGACAGCTCAGACCTGTCCACGGGTACGGGAATGTCAGCGTAGCCTCGTAGTCCTGGAGCCCATCAGGTCACCGGACGATGGAGGTAGCAGCCTTGGCTCAAGTCCGAAACCCCGACGCCCTAATGCGTGGTTCGTCTTCCTCTGGCCACCGCTGCGACTCCTCTCCCTTTTCTCTGTCTCGCACGTGCTTCGAAGAACGGTGCGTCTGCGTCGAATTGGCGCTTCAGTCATTTCTTGTTATTTATTATCATCCTTGCCAACTTCTTCTTTCTTGCCGACTTCCAACTTCGTTCATGGCGCGCACTTCAAATTCCGCTCGCCCCGTTTCAAGTTCCGCGCACTCCACCCGCTTTGAATTCTATGCACTCCATCATATAAGGATACTTGCTTGGGCGAGTTGGAAGTTATTATTGTTACGTTATTGCGCACTGCTTAAAAGACCAACACTTGAGATGAAGGACTAGATGGACACAAGTGCAAAGGCTGTTAGCGCTAATCACGTGGCATAGCACATTTTGTTCAGTTACTGATGCATGTATGCGCCGCGTAACTGAGAGTACAAGTATGATAGTTGATGCCTAAAAAGGTTACTGGCAATTAATTTTAGCATTGAATGACATTTCCTCTGGCATAAGAAAAACAATTTGTGCACCCGTATTTACTTTCGCCACCCGTGCTTCTCGGTTTTACGATTCTGTCAAATAGAAAGGATGGCAGCTTTTAGTTCGCAGTTTGTCAAAGGATTTGAGAGGCACGGCAAGTGATAATGTGGACTTACTCATTGTTTGCCCAATGGGGTTGTTAAAAATAGTATTTTTGTTGAAACAGCATTGGTGATGTACATTCTGCACGATTTGCGGAGGTTGTATGGTTTGTACATACTTTTTTTTCGAAATTTGAGCCTAGTTTTTATACGGCTTTAAACTCTGTCTTTTATGATAAAAAGTAGATGTTTGCTTTTACGTAAGCTGCTCCAAACTTGGGCTTTATTGCTCCAAAATTAACATATTGCTGCTCCAAATTACATCTTGGCTGTTGCACCCCAGCCTACGCAAAAATCTACCTTGTGGCTAGGTAGACTTATATACGACTACATCGCAACTGGTAAATAGAATTCTATTTTATAATAGAATATTCAAAGAGAAAAGAATGATTTGATTTCGTAAGAAATTCATAGACCAATTTGAAGCCACATGGAACCAAAATAGCCGGTACGCTTCCCCGAACGGGCAGCGCGAAATGCCCCGAAAAGTTGGCTTTGTCTTAAGGTTGGGGGCTTTTTCGCATACTTTTAAGACTGCGAACTGGGAAAGGGTATATTAGAGTCTTCAGGCGCCTCACGTACTCGCACAGCAGCACATGCAGGTACTAATGTGTTCTTTACAACGTTAATGTATTTTCTCGTGTATAACTAAACTCCATATAACCCGCACCTCATACTGCGAAACATGGAAATATGAAAAGTAATATCAATAACTTCCCGTAGGATGCCATCAAATCTCCTTTCCTGCAAAATTGATAAGTGGAGCAATGAAGCCAACATCAGCACCCATGATCGCAAGTTTTATAAAGAACTGTGCGATGTATCGATCTGACTCCCACTTTTTCAAATTGAGATTTCCGAGTGAAGTGTATTATAGTTTAACCAAATGATGCATTTTTTATACATGTGAGCTGCAGTATTATTTCCTCTCAGAACATTTCAAACAACATTTACAAATTACGGGGCGAACAATTTTGTTGTAGCGGTGGCGGTCAGTGAATAAAGAAAATTGATGGCTATATCATCATCATCATCATCATCAGCCTGACTACGTCCACTGCAGGACAAATGCCTCTCCCATGTTCCGCCAGTTAACCCGGTCCTGTGCTTGCTGCTGCCAATTTATACCCGCAAACTTCTTAATCTCATCTGCCCACCTAACCTTCTGTCTCCCCCTAACCCGCTTCCCTTCCCTGGGAATTCAGTTAGTTCCCCTAATGACCAGCGGTTATCCTGTCTACGCGCTACATGCCCGGCCCATGTCCATTTCCTCTTCTTTATTTCAACTATAATATCCTTAACCCCCCTTTGTCCCCTAATCCAATCTGCTCTCTTCTTGTCTCTTAAGGTTACACCTACCATTTTTCTTTCCATTGCTCGCTACGTCGTCCTCAATTTAAGCTGAACCCTTTTTGTAAGTCTCCAGGTTTCTGCTCCGTAGCTAAGTACCGGCAAGATACAGCTGTTATATACTTTCCTCTTGAGGGATAGTGGCAATCTACCTGTCATAATTTGAGAGTGCTTGCCGAATGTGCTCCACCCCATTCTTCTTCTTCTAGTTACTTCACTCTCGTGGTTCGGCTCTGCGGTTATTACCTGCCCTAAGTAGACATAGTCTTTTACAACTTCAAGTGCACTATTACCTATCTCGAAGCGCTGCTCCTTTCCGAGGTTGTACATTACTTTCGTTTTCTGCAGATTAATTTTAAGACCCACCTTTCTGCTCTCCTCGTCTAACTCCGTAATCATGAGTTGCAATTCGTCCCCTGAGTTACTCAGCAATGCAATTAGCGGCGATGGCGTAGTGGTTAGAGCATCCGCCTCGCATGCAAGAGGTCCGTGGTTCAAATCCCGGTGCCGCGCAGTTCCCAACCGGATTAAAAAAAAATCCGCGTGGTGATGGAACTGCATTAAGAGGCCTGGGGTGCGGCCTCACCGGTAACCACCACCGGGAACGCACTCCCTCACCAGAGAAGGATTGGCCACCCTCGTGCAGTATCTGGCCACTACCTCCCAAATGCATACGTCAAATAACTCGTGGCCGTCAGTCCCCAGCAGCTGCGAAGCAACTGACCACGGCGGTGGTCAGATCTGCAACGCAGCAGAGGGTGCAAGGATCTCTGGATCCGGACAGGCCGCCATTGGAACCTGAACTTGGCAACGTTTAACGCTAGAACCTTATCTAGCGAGGGAAGTCTAGCTGTACTATTCGAGGAGCTAGAAGTTGTTAAATGGGATATAATAGGGCTCAGTGAGGTTAGGAGGGCAGATGAGGCCTATACGGTGCTACAGAATGGGCACATCCTTTGCTATCGGGGCTTGGCAGACAGAAGAGAACTGGGAGTGGGGCTCCTAATTCACAGAAACATAGCTGGCAACATAGAGGAATACTATAGCATTAATGAAAGGGTGGTAGGTATCGTAATTAAACTGAATAAAAGATACAAGATGAAGGTAGTACAGGCTTATGCGCCTACATCCAGCCATGATGATGACGCTTCAGTTGAAAGCTTCTATGAAGACGTGGAATCGGCAATGAGTAAGGTAAAAACACAGTATACTATAGTGATGGGCGACCTTAATGCAAAGGTAGGAAAGAAACAGGCTGGAGACCAGGCAGTAGGAGATTATGGCATCAGTGCTAGAAACGCCAGAGGAGAGCTACTGGTAGAATGCGCAGAACGCAATAATTTACGGATTTTGTATACGTTCTACCGAAAACGAGAAAACCGCAAGTGGACATGGAGGAGTCCCAATGGCGAAAATAAGAACTAAATAGACTTTATAATGAGTGCACACCCAGGAATCGTGCAGGATGTGGAAGTGGTTGGCAAGGTACGATGCAGTGACCATCGAATAATATGGTCTCGAATTCGCCCAGACTTGAAGAAGAATGGCTATATATAGTTGTCTATTAGCGAGATAGACATGCCATTGTACGACATTTGAACATGGAGCATAAGCTAATGTCTAAAGATGTAGGCTATACAGCAATGGGTAAGAAACTATAAGATAACCACCCGTTGTGACCGGCATATTTCGTGTTACATGGCTGCGCACTGCTGTTCCAAAAGTAAATATGTTATCCTTTTCATGACGTTTTGCAGGTACAGCTTGGAAACCAGCGACATCGTCGCATAGTATCATTCTAGTAATATTTGAATACGTGCAATCATTTACTGCTTGCCGTAAGGTAGAGTCTATGTGGTACATGTATACATAAGCGGTCTGCTCTAAATGCTGAAAATCCATGCAAAACCGAGTGTAGGGCAATAAAGGCCTCACCTTCAAGATATAGTCGTCCGCACTTAGCACAAATTCCTTCTTGCTTAGGTGAAAGGTGACCTTTGGCAATGACGGCAGCGCTTCGCAGTCCACAAGATACTGCAAGTAACAGCGAAGAGAAATTTCAGTTCCATGAAGTACAGTATCACGGAAGCCAATTCGCAAAGCAGTGAGTAATTGATAAACATGTATCAACCACCCCAGACCTTCCTTCTTATTGAAAAGAAAGGTATATACGGACACATGACAACATTTGAAGGGACTACCGCAGGTGGTATCGTGATATGAATGCCAACTTGGTACTCCAGCTTTGAGGTACTGACTATGATACTGTCACGTAGTCGTAACGTGGATGAAGACAGCAGACTCGATGCTAAGTTCAAACTTGTGGCCAAGAAACTGAAGGTGAGATTGCAGCAACACACGGGTGCTGATAACGGCGAACAGAGCGTCGGCCGGCGGTCAACAAACAAGCGGTGATGCGTGTCGGCATTTATACACGTGTCATAAGATATTCTAGCGTTATCACTTGTGGCCACGTAGGTTCCAGAATAATGTACAATGTTCTCAAAGTGCACGAGCGTAATCTTAACGTCATTATCTACAACATTCTGGATGCTTCCCGAACAGCGCATGCGTGGTTCGCGCTCATAATTACGTACAGCATAACGGGGTGATAATAAGACTTGTGAAGGAACTCAGCAATACATACAATAACAACAATTATGCGCTTTATGCACGCATATTGCGCACTCACTTACAAACATATGTACACAAAAAAGTCAATATGAAATTTGGTTAGGTCCAGTGGTCCCAAATTAATTATTCCTATTTGCAAAAGCAGGAATATCTTCGTTCAGTTTTCGAGCGCTCGTGTTTCGAACATGCGCTGTTTCAAGCTTTGCTTTTCAAACTAAACTGTCCTAAGCTTCGCATATGACGTAATTTGTGTGATTTTTCCTTCGGCATGGCTTTTGAATGTAAGTCGCGTTTACAATAATAAATGGCTTTTGAAGGAACAACAAGGCGCACCGTCACTTTCACGAATTCCGATAGAGTAGCGACTTCCATGTCCTAATATTTATTATTGAGAACTGAACAAAAAAGACCCCTTGTCTGCAATGACTCGTTAACAGCCCACGTCGAAAACCCCTAACAAAAATATGTTAATGATCGTTATTTTCTGTATTGTAACGCCGATTGCTTATGAATCATGCATTGTAAATTTGGATTGGGCTGTATTTGTATAGTAATTTGCAGCGAATTTAGTTTTGTTTGAATGACTCTCAGGACCTCAATGAAAATCTAGAGAACAGGAAGTGCGCGCTAGAGCAGACGTTTCTACAAGCAGATTTTTCTTGTTGAAAAAAAGTGAGGTAGATGCGCCATTGTACGACATAAGTCTATAGTGAATTTGAAGACAGCAAGTCTGCTTGTCGCAATGCCGGCTCCAGCACACATACGAGTTTTTCATCGCAAGCCTCCATCATCCCCTCGTTGCCTCTCCTTCAATTGATTTTCGTCACAAAATAACACGTGAACTCTGCAGCAGAGCGAGGGGCTCAAATTCTGGTGGTCCACGACTTTTCTAATATTACAGTGGAACTTAACTCTAAACAGACTTTGTGCGTCTTTTCGTCAATGAAATGGGAATGCGAAGGCTCCTAATCGCAGTCACCACTCTTTGTTTACCAGTCTCTGTTTGGGGCTGAATGACTTATGATATCATTAGGCGTCTGACTTGATTTAAGCTCACTTACAATGTTCTTTGTCTGTTTTGAATAAAATTTCCCCTTCACTTATTTTTCGAATCATTGATGGGATACGTTCCGCTTCGACACAAGTAATATTAATGCCCTCGTGTGACACATCACATATTATGTCTCACCTGACCAGGTGAGGCTTCCTTAGCCCCAATAATTCTGTTGATCTTCTTGACGTCAACGGATGGCCCAGTTAGCAAGGACGTGCCGGTGTCCGCAATCGCTTGGCAACCCTTTTTACAGAAGGTCGCCTTGTCAGATAGACTAATTCTGTGGAGAACAATATTAGGAAATATTGGTCAATGCCGAAAGCGTTCAGTGCTGAGCATAAAAGAAAAAAATCATCAACGTCCGCACCCATCAATCTGCCACATAAAACACGTGTATACACACGTCAACGAAACACTTTGCGGCCATCATGACAACCAATGGGTGATGAAGTCAAGGCAGGTGTAGTGCAGTTTTTTAATTGTGTTAACTATGACACAAGTATGAAAAAAATGAAGTGGCCGCAACTACAGCTTGCGCCGGCAAGGATCAAATCAGCAACCTTCACATAAGTAGCGCGATGCTGTATAAATTGAGTTAAGGCACCGGTATTTCTCCCGTAAAGAGACAGTTGACTACCCCCTCCGTATATTATCACTTTCGCTGATTTCTCGGAAGAGGGATATCTGATTGTTTATAAAATTGGACTCCCCGTTTTCGCCCTCTTACCTGTGCTGAAAATCGAATCGCAGAAGAGCAACACTCATGCGCTTAAGACAGTGACCGGGCTGGCTAATGTGCTTGGAGAGTGATAAGTTACGGAGGCCTGTTTGATGGGTGCACTGGCCGTTGAAGTGTAGTCCGAGCGTGGTTTCTCTTTGTTCAATAAATTTTCATTTATGGCACATCCACAGCCGCTTTCTTACACCACGTTGTTCGAATAACAGCTGTGGTCATGATTAATTTGACACGCAAAGCCTGAGCGGGAAATTTAGGTAACATATTGCCAGGTGTGTTGAAATTTGAAATACTCCTCCGGCAGAGCCGCTGAAAGGCCGCCTAATAAATGAAGACAACGACGCTGTTGTTGTGGGGCTCGGTCTGGATTGTCCTGCTGACCGCTGACTGACGGGAATGTTTGCGTGGCCGTATGCGATTTTCTAAAGGCAACAAAACAAATAGAATGTTAAGCTGAAGCATTAATTCACTTTATTTCATATCATATTAGCTTGATCGTTTTTTATTAGCGCTATGCATTTTATTTTGTATTCCACCGTTTACCGCTCTGTTCTTTGTTTAAACATCCCTATCTGAATATCCCGGCTGGTAAAACAATTCAATCTCACAAATGAGGTGCGGTCCGTTTCATGACCGATCCCCCGTGGTGGGTTTCGCCAGGACTCCGAGGAACAATCGACCAACCAACCAACCATTTTGTGCGCCCTGTACACTGTGATTCCGGAATGGTAGTGACTCACGGCCCCTAAATAAATAGTACCCGTGTAGTGGAGCATACGCACCAACGCGTATGCGCCTTCGGAAGACAACAAAAAGCCCGTGCTCTGATTGCGCGAGAACCTGTGCCGCCATTGCCAGACTTGCTGTTCGCCCATTTTCCGTCGCGACTTCGTTGCCGCTCCTCTGTTCCATTAAACATCATCGCATTTGGTGGAGGCTGCTGAGATCCCAAGGCAGACCTGGAGCTCCGCTCTCGCAAGTTGGCCGAAAGACCACCGTACAACATGACTGACGCAGTCGCCAACCAGCCCATCCCAGCACAGCCAGCACCATCGGCTGCCCCGTCGACCTGCCCCGGTGCTACCCGTCAGCGGGACCCACCAATCTTCAGCGGCAGTGGTGAGCAAGACGTCGAAGACTGGCTCTCCTTGTACGAACGCGTGAGTGCCAGCAACAAATGGGACAATGACTCTAAGCTTGCCTATGTTATCTTTTACTTGGCTGACGTCGCCAAGCTATGGTTCACCAACCGCGAAACCGCCATCGCCAGCTGGTCCACGTTTAAGACCCTCGTGACCGAAGCGTTCGGCCGACCAGAGGTCCGCAAGCTCCGCGCTGACCAGCGTCTGCGCCACCGAGCCCAGCAGCCTGGCGAGACCTTTACTAGCTATATTGAGGATGTGCTCGACCTCTGCAAGCGTGTTGACTCATCCATGCCTGAAGAAGAGAAAATTCGACATATTCTTAAAGGCATCGAGGATGGCGCATTCCAGATGTTGCTGGCGAAAAGCCCGACCACAATAGCAGCCCTCGTAAGCCTGTGCCAGAGCTTCGATGAATTGCGTCGTCAGCGTTCCATCGCCCGACAGAGTGTCCCATCACCAGATTCAATCTCGGCCGTCGCACTCGCAAATGGCAACGTTCACCAAGGAACTCTGTCGAACCAGATTAAAGACTTCATCAGGGAGGAAGTCGCCCGACAGCTCTCCCTGCTGCCGCATAGCGACGCGCCCACGACAAGCCTCCCTTCGAATATGCAGCAGGCCATACGCACTGAAATTTGCAATGCCCTCCCTACAGTTCCGGCCTCTTATCCATGCACTTCGGTGCCATCTGATCTCTCAACTGCTGGCTACGCACCAACTGCGCCGCCTTCACCTCTCAGCTACGCAGCTGTGGTCGCGCGGCCCCCACCGCATCCAGTCGCCTTATCGGCTCCACCTCCTCCGGCCTCGCCTCCAGTTTACAGGCCCCCACCTCGCTTTTTCCGTCCATCTAATGAGTGGCGCACCCGAGACAATCGTCCCATCTGCTTCGCGTGTGGCATCGCTGGCCACATTGCACGCTTCTGCCGCCGCCGTCCCACACCTGCGCACGCATACTTCGGAGCTCCTACCTACGCACCGCAGCAGACTACCACGTCTAGATATGAACAGAGGCACTCCGACTCGGATCACCACCCATCGACTGCTCGTTTCTCATCACCTCGTCGCCGATCGCCATCGCCTATGCGTCGTCGACCACCTCCTGAGGAGGGAAACTAATCAGTGCAGTTCCGGAGGCAAGAACTGCACCTTGTGCGCAATTCCCAAGGCCTCCATTTTCGCCGCAAAATGTTGTTGATGTCGATGTTGAGGGAGTCGCCACATTAGCGTTAATTGATACCGGGGCCGCCGTTTCTGTGATGAACGCAAAATTTTGTAGGAAGCTGAAGAAAGTGACCACATCTCTCAGTGGCTTGGTGCTGTCCACGGCTAGCGCGCAACGCATTCATCCCTCGGCTGTGTGTACGGCGCGCGTCGTCATCGGAGACGTTTTGTACGTCGTACAGTTTTTTGTTCTACCATCTTGCTCTCATGACCTTATCCTGGGTTGGGAATTCTTATCACGTCATGAAGCTATCATTGATTGTTCCCGTGCCGAAGTGTCCCTTGTGCCAACATGTGAATTTACACCACCCGACAGCTCTCCTCTGCTCTGCAAACTCACCGCTGATGACGACATCACCTTGCCTCCTGAAGCTTCGGTCCCTATTAGCCTTTCATGTGTGGCGCAACCTGACGGCACGGTGGTGTTTACGCCATCTCCGGTTTTTACTGAACGCAAGGGCATCGTTCTCCCATTTGCTGTTCTTACAATTGCATCTGGTTTAACCGTAATGCTGGTCACCAACCACTGCAACTACCCCATTGGCTTACTTCGTGGTGAAACGTTAGGATATGTGCAACCTGTCGACCATATCGATGATATTATTCTTCCCGACGAAACGCCATGTCACATTGCTGCAATCACTCATGCGTCTGAGCCGTCAAGTTCGTCAGCCTTCGACAATGCTATTGACGCAGACCTTCCCCTCTCGCATCGCCGCCAACTTGTTGCTCTCCTTAACAAGTTTCGTTCTTCTTTCGACTTTCAAGAACCTGCTTTGGGCCGCACCACAACTATCACTCATACTATTGACACCGGCTCACATTCGCCTCTGCGACAGCGCCCTTACCGCGTTTCCGCCGAAGAGCGCCGCGTCATTACGGAGCAAGTAGATGACATGCTTAAACGTGGAGTGATACAGCCTTCTCAAAGCGCTTGGTCATCACCTGTGGTTCTGGTCAAGAAAAAAGATGGCACCGTACGATTTTGCGTGGACTATCGCCGCTTAAACAATATTACGAAAAAAGATGTCTACCCGCTACCACGAATAGACGATGCTCTTGACTGTTTACAAGGCGCCGAGTACTTTACATCTTTGGATCTGCGTTGTGGGTATTGGCAGGTGCCAATGGCTGAATGTGATCGCCCTAAAACAGCCTTTGTAACTTCCGGATGGCCTATATGAGTTCAAAGTCATGCCATTTGGGCTCTGCAACGCGCCTGCCACATTTGAGCGCATGATCGACACCATCTTGCGTGCCCACAAGTGGAAAACCTGCTTATGTTACCTGGACGACATCGTAGTCTTTTCATCTGATTTCCCGACACATCTTGCTCGCCTCCACGAGATTCTGACGTGTCTAACTTCTGCAGGCCTACAACTCAACTCCAAGAAGTGCCACTTCGCAGCACGAAAACTAACCATCTTGGGACATGTCATCACAAGAGACGGTGTTCTTCCGGATCCCGATAAGCTTCGAGCTGTCGCTGACTTTCCGTTGCCCACATCACTGAAAGCCCTAAGAAGTTTCGTCGGTCTCTGCTCTTACTTTCGTCGCTTCGTGCGCAACTTCGCGTCCATCATCGCACCTCTCACGAGTCTGCTTTCCAACAGCAAAGGCATATCTGCATGGTCACCTGCATGTGACGATGCATTTCGCCAGCTGCGCCGCCTGCTGACCTCACCACCTATTCTTCGTCACTTCGACCCTGCTGCGGCCACAGAAATTCACACCGATGCAAGTGGCATCGGTCTCGGTGCAGTTTTGGCACAACGGAAAGGCACCCAAGCTGAATACGTAGTCGCCTATGCAAGTCGCGCTCTCAAGAAGGCTGAATTGAATTACTCCGTGACAGAGAAGGAGTGTTTGGCCATAATCTGGGCGTTGACGAAGTTTCGCCCGTACCTTTACGGCCGTCCTTTCGACGTGGTCACAGACCACCACGCTCTATGTTGGCTGTCCACCTTGAAAGACCCGTCCGGACGCCTGGGGCGTTGGGCACTTCGATTGCAAGAATACGACATCCGTGTCGTATATCGTTCCGGTCGCAAACATGCGGATGCCGATGCACTTTCGCGATCGCCATTAACACCAGATGTGGCTTCTTTGTCTCCCCCTTTTACCACCTTGTCACCACTCGACACGACTGACATGCTTTCGGAGCAGCGTAAAGAC